CTGGAGTGGAAGTGACCCCCCCTCCCTGCACCACCAAGCCACTCTGGCTTTCCTTGTGGGGAGTGTGCCCTGGGGTAAGTGGCGCAGGTGCAGCTCCTGCCCCAGAAGCCTGGCACCTGAGCTGGCAGTCCTGGAGGGAGAGAAAGAGGGAGGATGGGAGGCTTGGGGCATGCTCCCCACAGGAAAAGCTGGAGTGGTGGGAGGTACCAGGCTGCTCTGTCCCCCAGTGCCATCTCAGGGACAAGTGAGCGAGGCTTTGGCCAATTTCTGGAGAGCTGCAAGTACTGTGCCTGTGAGCCACATGCAGCTCATGAGCTGCAGTTTGGCCACCATGGGTCAAAGGTCACTGCAAAATGATCCAGGACCCTGTATGTGAACTCCCTTGAGTTTCACCAATGGGACTCTGGCTAGGCATGGATAGCATCCTCAAAACATTTAGGGCACTTCCCCATGAGTGCGCACATGTGGTTTGTGGTGCTGCACACCTGTCTATATTAATAATTATGTTTGATACAAGGTGTTTAATGGCAGGCACCTGCTGAGCTGGTAATTTGCAGCATGGTGTTTTTTGACACCAGGGGATTTCAGTGTCAAAAAAACCCTGCACAACGCAGATGGTCTCAAAGCTATTGTGCATATTGACCATGAGTCAAATGTTGTTGTTGACTCCTTCTACCCCAAAGCACAAATCTATGGGTAACCAGGGCTCCCTCCTGAACATGAGTAAATACAGACTGACCCCCATTGCATCATTCCTAGTGGAGTTGTAGGTATGCACCAGGTATGCGATATGCTGGCTCTATGCAGCCTTCTGTTCCTACTGGAGGCAACCCAGCATATTCAAGACAGTGTGATTGAAGTGCTCAGGTTGGGGATCTCCTTGGGGGTGGTAGGTTGTAGTCCTTGATTTCTTTATGCCAGCCACTGTCAGTACTTCACGCAACAACCGGCTCTCAAAATCTGCCCTTGATCAGAGTGGATTCTTGCGAGCAGCCCAAACATGGAGAAGTACCTTTCCCACAGTACTTTGGCAACTGTTCTTACTGTTTGATCTCATGTAGGGAAGGCCTGGGCATATCGGATGAAGTGGTCTGTCACAACCAGCACATTCCCCTTTTGGTGCCCCTCCCCTTCTATAGCTAGGAAATCCATGCACACGAGCTCCATGGGTTTTGAGCTCTGGATGGTGTGTAGATAGGCTGTTTGAGCATGAAGGGTCTTCACACACACTGATCACAGTTTAAGCATTTAGTCCTTACATCTTCAGCCATTTTGGGCCAAAAGAACCTCTGACGGGCTAGCTCCAGGGTGTGATCCACCCCCATGTGCCCAAAGTCATTATGCAAGGCCCATAATGCAAGGGCCTTATACTTCTGAGGGAGATCCAGCTGTCAATATTTCCATCCTTCTGGGTCCTGCACCTCCAGATGTAGCACTCCATCAAACAAGTGAAGTCTTTCCCACACTCTCAACAGGAGGTGGACTGCTGGAGTACCATTATTAAGGGTCGTGGGGCGGGTATTCCCTGATCTCTGGGCATGCAGCACCTCTTGCACATCTGGGTCCTGTTCTTGTGCTGTCTGCCATTCCATGGTGTCATGGAAAAATCTTAAGTTATGAGTGCTGACAACACAGAAGAGTCAAAGCTAGCATGCACACTTTAGTCTTTGAGTGGGAAATTCCAAGGCTCACCCAGCACGTGCCCCCTGGGTGACCCGAGGGCCTGTCAATCAAGCGTGACCTACTTTTCCACCATGCGCATGCTCAGTTAAATACAAAGCTCAGTCAGACACATGCTCAGTTCTCTGACTGCCTGACGTAATCAGACCAGAAAATTCTGTGAGGGGAGCGTTCCAATTGGCTACTAAATCCTTATAAAAGGTTAAGGAGCCCCTCCCTCGGGGGGAGACCCGCTGAACTGAGGACAGAGGCTGGCTCTCAGGGACTGTCCCTCAGTTAGGCTCTGCGGCCTATCGGTCTCCTCCTATAGCGATTTTCCGATCCATTCCTATTGATTTTCTGGCGTTCAATCTACCTGGCACTGGCTACGGCTACGACTTCTGATCTCAATCCGAACTTACCTTGATTCCATGGCTTCTGACCTCGGCTTTCATCCTCGGCCATCCATCCGTCCCATCGTTCTGGCATCGACCTTGGCACTGTTTTCCATCGACTTTGGCATCGCTTGCAGCCTGCTTTCGTCCGCGTTGGCCTTTGTTTTGTTACAGTTCCGTTGTTTGTCTGTCCCATTTATGAGGCGTTGACCAGCCCTGGGACTATTAGGTTGAGCAGCCGCCCCTAGCCCTCCGGGGTTAGAAAGCAAGGGCTCACCTAAGAACCCCGTGGGCCAACGGACCCCTTTGTTGTTCATACTGTAACCGAACAAATTCCCTATGCCATTAAAGCGTCAGTTAAATAAACCCCTTTGGTTGGAACCAGAAGCTTGTGTGCCACTCAGACACAACCGTTGCTAATCCTTCCTGTTCGTATTCCCTCGGCCCACCGTGACCAGTCCGGTTCTCTGCGACCACACATGGCTGTGACCTGGGGCAACGAGGAGGGAGTCAACATGGCATACTGAACCCAGACCTGTGGGATCCCCTCAGGGGGCAACCTCAACACATCAGCTATGGATACAGTACTTTCCCTCATCTCCACAGGGTCTTGTATCTGCAGGTCACAAATAGTCTTCACTGTCTCGGGGCTCCAAACACTGCTGGGGTTGCTGTCGAGACAGGGTATCAGGATCCACATTCTTTCATCCCACTCAATAGTGCAGGCTGAAGGTGTAGTTGGCTAGTGCCATGATCCAGCATTGGCTGGTCGCATCCAACTTAGCGCTGGTGAGCACAGGTAAGGGGATTATTGTCTGTCCACACCTGGAAGGTGGTTCCATATAGATAGTCCCAGAATTTTTCAGTGACAGCCCACTTCAGGGCCAGGAATTCAAGCTTCTGTACCGTGTAGCACATCTCGCTGGGTGACAATCCCCATGCTGGCAAAAGCCACTGGTCACTGGTGTCCATCATGTTCCTGGTACAGTACAGCCCACAGTCCTGACAGGCTAGCAACTGTGTGCAAAATAAAAAGGTGGTTGGGATCAGCATATGCCAGCACAGGCACCTGAGTCAGCTGCCAGATCACCTCCTGGAAGGGATCTTCACACCGTGAGTCCCACCAGGGACCAAAAGGCTCCATGGGGCTTTGTGTCACAGGAAGACCATTTAAGCCATTGTCTCACCCTTTTTTGCGGGGCGACCTTCCCACCTGGTGTCCACAAGTCAAGGCATTTAAAGATCCAGTTATTGTAGCACAGTCCTTAATGAATCACCAATAGAAACCCAAAAATCCCAGGAACCTTTTCAATTCCCTAAGGTTCTTGGGTTGAGGCCAGGTGGTCACAGCACTTACTTTCTCTGGATCAGTGCTGATCCCTTCCTGTGATATAATATGTGGAGGGATGTGGGCATGCTAGAAGGAAGGAATAGGCAA